CCCCCCTCCCGAAAAAACTACCTTACTTTCCGATTTCCGAATCGGAAATGACCATCCATCCCAGATTAATCACTCACAATATTATTATCCACTTGAAGAGTGTCTCGCCATATCGATCTCGCAAATCATAGCTCAGTTGGCATGGCGCTGGCCTGCTGTGCTCACGAGTATGGCAATGTTGAATGAACCACAGCGAAGACCCGTGTGTCTGTGTTCCGCGCTATATACCGATAGGCACAATCTTAAGACTGCGTTGCGCGCTTTAACGATCGTATAATTGTATCATTGTTGTGAGCTCTTCAGTTCCATGTCTTAATTTTAATTTAATTTCCATATTTTTACACTTTTGAAAATATACGTGAATGCTCCTTGATGTGAATAAAAGAATAAAGATGTGGGTGTATATAAAAAAGATTATTTTTAAAATATACAATAAATTAAATGTACTTTGTGAACTTTGAGTTTGATACCTGGCATTGTATCATTCTTGTGAGCTATTCAGTTTCATACGTTCATTTTCATTTTAATCTTAGTTTTCATATTTTTACACTTTTGAAAATATATGAATGTTCCTTGATGTGAGTAAAAAAAATAAAGATGGAAGTGAATTTTTATTATTATTATTATTTCAAAAATATAAAATACTAGCTGGGTACCCCGTTCAATGAACGAACTTAATCGTCAAGTCATTGTGGGTTAATTAAGTGCGCACAGCATGTGAACGGAAGTCTTGGAATATGTATTGAACACTGCCTTCAACTGAGTTAAAATGCTCGAACATTTTGGAAAAATCGGGGAAAGCAGTTTGCGTGGATTTTTTTAAGTTAGGTCCTAGTCACATGGATGCTGTGGACGCCTACAAAGTTTCAAAGGTGTGGGTTAGGTAATAAGGGAGGAGTTTGTGCTCAAAGCCTCCCAAGTCCACTTTTAAATATATAGATTAACGCAATCTTCAGATTGTCGCGCTATTACGCAATCATTGTTAAAACGCGCAGCGCAATCTAATCCCGCTGATCGGTAAATTGCGCTGTACTCCTGTATTGTGAAGCAATGAATCCTTTCCATGTCGTAGAACAAACAAGATGTGATCTATGTATATGTGATTTTGTAAATAAAGTGTTGATTCTCCTTCATGTTGCTCGATCTACAGTTTCTGTCATTTCCGACAACTGTCTGGTCATAATTCATAACGTGCATCGGGAATCAAGATTGTTGTTGTTGTTGTTGTTGTTGTTGTTTATTTTGCTGCCGTTGTTTTTGCTGTTGCTGTTGCTATTATTATCATTGCTGTTGTTGTTGTTGTTGTTGTTGTTGTTGTTGTTGTGACCCGGCAGTAACGTCCAAGAATGATCCATCTGTTGATCACTTTGTGGTTTGATAGGAAAGAAAGAGCAAACCACACCAGAGCACTCGCCAACCAACTGCTGGCATACATAGAATAAAGGACAAGAGATTGGTTTTGGTGTTCGAGAAAAGAGAAACACATGGACACAATAACGGCTATATAATATAATAATATAGTGCAGGAAGATAGAAACAAAAGAGGGAATGAAAAGAAGTAGGTCCCGCTACGAGTGGCACCCTCCAACCACCCGCAAGGAGGAGAGCGAAGGAAGACAGGTTTTTTAAAGGAAAAAGAGAACAAACCACACAAGATCACTAGTCAACCAGCCATGTTGTTTGGAGGTTTGTTTGAGTAAAGAGAAGCACATCGACACAATAGTGGTCCTTGAGTGATGGGGAAAAGTAAGACAGACAGACAGAAACAACAGAGGGAAAGAAGAGAAGTAGGACCTATCAGTGACACCCTCCAAACACCCACGGAGGAGGAGAAGAAGAAAGTAAAGAGCAGGGTTGGGGGGTGCGATAGATGTTTGACAGGAAAGATTTTAAAAAGTTTTAGTATGGTTTTACGGCGCTCGCAACTGCATAAGGTCATATGATGAGCGCCACGGGGTGAATGTCAACAGAGAAGTCAAAACGGGGAATCAGACTTCCTCTGCTCACCTCTCTAGCTTCAACAGTACAAAGTCTGCTTCGGCTATCAAGGCACCCCGGAAATAGCAGTTCACAAGAGTGTGACAAACATACAAAAGAAGTAGATGAAAAATGACGATAGTAAGTATGAGGAAAGAAAAAGCGGCAGTTCCCCCTATGTTATTCCGGCACAGTATGAGCATGACATTGATAAATCAGCCCATTTACATTTCTACTGTGCGTAAGAACATGTTAATATCCCCCTTTTGGGAATAAGTCATTTAGTGTTGAAAATCAAATGTGTTACTAGATTATAACAAACAACAAAGAAACAGGAGAGATAAGGACGAAAAATGTTCGCTAGGAAAGAAGGAGCAAACACTACCAGAGCACCCACATCAACAAGCAAAACAACAAAACTCTGTCTGTCTTCGGTAAGTAAGAAACGTGAGTTTATTTTATTGCACAGGCTATACTTTTCTTAACAATAATAAGAATAGAACAGTAATGAAATAGTCAGTGA